AAGGGAAGGTGCCGGGACGTTGCGGGCCGAGCTCAGGCTGAGCATCAGCCCGGGACCCAGGTCGGGTCGGGGTTGCAGGAGGCAGCCAGCCCATAGCGTAGATGATTCTCATCATGGATGTTCCTCTCCCTCTCCCTTTCTCTCTGAAATCAATAGAAACATATATTTTTTTAAAAACTTTAAAAAATAAAAGCCCTAGCCGGGTTGGCGCAATGGACTGAAGGGTCCCGGGTTTGATTCCTGTGGGAGGCCACAGTGGATCTGTCTCTCACATCGATGTTTCTGTCTCTCATCCCTTCCACTCTAAAAAGTCAATGGAACCCTCGCCGGTTTGGCTCAGGGGATAGAGCGTGGCCTGCGAACTGAAAGGTCCCAGGTTCGATTCCGGTCAAAGGCACATGCCCGGGTTGTGGGCTTCATCCATGATTCTCTCATCATGGATGTTTCTCTCTCTCCCTCTTCCTTCCTCTCTGAAATCAATAAAAATATATTAAAAATAAACAAATAAAATTAAAAATCAATGGAAATATTCTCGGTGAGGATGAACAAACAAATAAAATAAAAGATGACTGGCTGTCCCAGGACCCACTGGGTGCTGGGCAAGGTGGGGCCAGGAGAGGGAGCCAGGCGATGGGCCGGCCAGTCTCTCCCACGCTGGGTGGCTGCCTGGGGGCTGGGGAGAGTTGAGGGCAGTTGGGAGTGGGTAGGAGTGAGGCCAAAAGCCTGGGGGAAGCTACTGGGAGCCAGGCCAGGGAATGGGGAGTCAGGAAGTGGGGAGGGGGAGCCTGAGGGGCATGGCCTTGGAGGGGGTGGGAAGTGGTAACTCCGGAAGGGAGAGCCTGCAGGAGAGAAGGGACGTCAGAGAAGAGGAGGTGGCACCCTGGGTCCTCCTTCTATAAAAGGAAAAGTGGTAGCCTTCCTGCCTTGCCCTCTCCCCTCCATGTGCCCATGCTAAGCAGACTCATCCTACCTCTGGGCAGTGAATTCCCTGATGGCTGTGTGCCTTCTGCACTCCAGCCGCTGGGTCCTGCCTCACAGTGTCAGCCGCCTCCTCTCTTTGCTCACCTCTTGATGCTTCCTTCCCTGTTTCCCACCCTCTTTCTGGGCAGTTCACTCAGGCTGCTCAGCCCTGGAAACCGACTCTGGGGGCAGAGGGCAGCTGGGGGACCCTGAGAAAAGGGAGCCAGACCCCCTGGGACCTAGGCCCTTTCTGTGCGTCAGCCAGGCCTTGCCCTGACTTCCTAGCCCCTTGGGGCTCTGTCCACCAAATAGGGAAGAGACAGCTGAGAGCTGGCTGTTGGGTTTGGGGAAAGACGATGTCATCAGCTGGCCCAGGGCCTGTGACCCATCCCCCATCTGGCTGCTAGGGATCCCCCTCCCCTGGGCAAGTCCCATTTTTCTTTAAAGGAAAACAAAAACTAGGGTTTTTGGGAAAGAATGAGACACCATCTGAGTCCCACCATCAGAGCTGCTGGCTGAATGGCTTACAGCTCAGCCAATCACAGAGACTGGGGAGACTTAAAAGAGCTGGCGGGGAGAGTCTGCTAGGAACCTCAGGGAGACCCAGAGGCACAGAGACCGGGAGAGAGGGCAGGAGAGAGACAGACCCAGGCACGCGGGAAGCAGGGTCTGGGCAGCCAGAGGCCGGGAGAGGCAGTTCCCAGGAGAGGGTTTGCAGGACTGGCCACGAGGCACCCTGCTCAAGCCAAGGGCCACGCTCTCTCCACCTCGCCTGAGGTCCCCAGCCCCTGAAACGCTGCCTCTGACCCTGGCGCTGGCCGAGCCACCGCTGCCGAGGGGAGCTTTCCACAGGCTGGGCGTGAAGGGAGCGGGCCGCCGGCGTCAGTCCTTACAGCTCCAGCACCCGCCATGTCCCCGACGGACCCGCACCCCAAGAGGGGCTGGGCCGGCTGCTGGCTGTGGGGAGCCCCCTGCCGTCTGCTCCCCACCCTGCTCCTGCTGCTGCTGGCCTCCCTCCTGCCCTCAGCCAGGCCAGCCAGCCCCCTCCCCCGGGAGGAGGAGATCGTGTTTCCAGAAAAGCTCAACGGCAGCGTCCTGCCTGGCGTGGGCACCCCGGCCAAGCTGTGGTACCGCTTGCCCGCCTTTGGGGAGATGCTGCTATTAGAGCTGGAGCAAGACCCGGGCGTGCGGGTGGAAGGGCTGACGGTGCAGTACCTGGGCCCGGCGCCGGAGCTGCTGGGTGGGGCGGAGCCGGGCACGTTCCTCACCGGCACCATCAACGGAGATCCGGAGTCGGTGGCATCTCTGCACTGGGACGAGGGAGCTCTGTTAGGGGTGCTGCAGTATCGGGGGACCGAACTCCACATCCAGCCCCTGGAGGGAGGCGTCCCTAATTCTGCTGGGGGGCCTGAGGCTCATGTCCTACGCCGGAAGAGCCCTGCCAGCGGCCAGGGCCCCATGTGCAGCGTCAAGGCGCCTCCCAGGAACCCCAAGCCCAGCCCCCGAAGAGCCAAGGTAGGCCACCCAGAGCCCTGCAGCCCCTCCTGCCTTACCTGCCCCCTGACCCGTGTCCCCTCGCCCCGCCCACTTCCACTTCTGGTCATTCTGCTTCTTCCCTCGTGTGGCCTGCTTTTCTCCTCCCATGAGCCTTCTCGGGCAGGTGCTGGCTGCTCCCTGCCCTCACCTTGATCCCAGCAGGGTCCCAAGAGGTGAATGGGAGGCTCTGTGCTGGGAATGACCCCCCTCTCCCCACCCAGCCCGGCCTGGCACCCTGCTGCTCGGGCCCAGGTGGGAGTCTCTCCTCAGTCTCTTGGCCTTGACTCTTTCCTGTGCCCCAAATCCCCCCCCCCACCACCACCACCACCACACAAGCTAAAGGAGTGAGAGTTGAGGCCCAAGCGATTGGCTTCTGGCTTCCTATACTGCCTTCCAATTTGTCCTGGCAAACTGCAAACTAGGGCAGGAGTGGACGGAGGAGAGGCACTCCACACTGCGTCCTGGCCAGTCCCCTTCCCACACTGGCCTGACTGCAAGGCTGCGAGGCTCCCTCCTCCCCTCCTTCCCACTCCAGGCTCCCCTTCCTCCCTCCTCCTCCCCTCTCCAGCTTTAATCCAGTCCAGACGCTCCCTCCACACCCGCCACGCTGAGATCTGGCCCCAGCCCCGGCTGCTGACTGAATTGTTCCTCCAACCACACAGGGCAGACACGTTGCAGCCCAGCACTGTAGGCCTGGCCACAGCAGGCCTGGGGACGCCCAAAGCCCCTTCCAGAAGCAGTCCCAGCTGCTTTTCACCACTGGGGACCAGGCAGCCCTGGCGCCCCCTCCTCTCCATCTCTGAACCAACAGCTGATTTCTCAGAGTTCGCACAAAAGCTCTGGGATTTGGGGCTGGGGGAGGGACCCAGCCAGCCCGGGAACCTGGTGGGTGTGGTGTGTGGGACCAGCCTGCTCTGCCCAGTTCCAGACCAGGAAGCGCTGGAAGGAAAGTGGTCGGGCCTGTGGCTGGGCGGCTATTTGAGGCCCTCCTCTCCTCTCTCTCCCAGCGCTTTGCTTCCCTGAGTAGATTTGTGGAGACCCTGGTGGTGGCGGACGACACGATGGCAGCGTTTCACGGTGCAGGGCTGAAGCGCTACCTGCTCACGGTCATGGCCGCCGCGGCCAAGGCCTTCAAGCACCCAAGCATCCGCAACCCCGTCAGCCTGGTGGTGACGCGGCTGGTGGTTCTGGGGCCGGGCCAGGAAGGGCCCCCAGTGGGGCCCAGTGCCGCCCAGACCCTGCACCACTTCTGTGCTTGGCAGCGAGGGCTCAACACCCCCGAGGACTCGGACCCGGATCACTTTGACACAGCCATTCTGTTTACCCGTCAGGTAGGCCCGTCGGCACCATGTGAACGGCGCCTGCCCGAGCCCCGTAGTCTGGGGGACCCCGTGCCGAGTCCTCATGCATCTTCTTCGACCTCCACAGGACCTGTGTGGGGTCTCCACCTGTGACACCCTGGGCATGGCCGACGTGGGGACCGTGTGTGACCCGGCTCGGAGCTGCGCTATCGTGGAGGACGACGGGCTCCAGTCGGCCTTCACTGCCGCTCACGAACTGGGTACGGGGTGGGGGGACTGTGGTGTCTGGGATGCGTGAGAGGCGGCAGGGGTGAGGCGCGGGGACAATGAGCTCACCAGCGTGCAGATGGGGTCACGGTGTTTCTTCCTCCCTCCGGGCCTAGGTCCAGGGCCATCCTCCTTCTCTCTGGGTGTAGACACACACTTAGGTTTTCTATTAAGTGAGCTAGCATGTGGAAGCCACTGTAACTGTGTGTGTATGCATGTGTGTGTGAGTATATGCATGTGTGTGAGTGTATGCATATGTTGTGAGTGTGTGCATGCATGTGAGTGTGTGTGAGAGTGTATGCATGCGTGTGAGTGTATGCATGTGTTGTGAGTGTGTGCATGCATGTGAGTGTGTGTGTGTGAGAGTGTATGCATGCGTGTGAGTGTATGCATGTGTTGTGAGTGTGTGCATGCATGTGAGTGTGTGTGTGTGAGAGTGTATGCATGCGTGTGAGTGTGTAGTGTATGTGAAAACCTATTACTGTGTGAGTGAGTATGTGAATGTGTGTGTGTGGCATAAGACAGGCATGTGTCGGGGGTGTGAGTGAGTGTGTGCATGTGTATGGGGAGATAGCACAGTATTGAAAGAGGTATTATTCAGGAGAACTGGGGATGGAATGGTGGGTAAAGGGTTGGGAATGTTGGCTACAAGGGAAAGTAGGTAAGGAAGGACCCTGAGCATATTTTGGGGGGAAGGGGAAGCAGAGCTCTGGGGGGGCTATATACTGAGCAGCCCTCAGAGCATCAGAGGGAGTTGGGGCCGGGCAGGACCATCCACAGCTGCAGCCACCTTTGTGAAGCTGCCAGGGAGGGGACCCCTGACTCCAGCAGGGCCTCTGCTCTCACAGGCCATGTCTTCAACATGCTCCATGACAACTCAAAGCCATGTGTGGGCCTAAACGGGCCTGGGAGCACCTCCCGCCATGTCATGGCTCCCGTGATGGCTCACGTGGATCCTGAGGAGCCCTGGTCCCCCTGCAGCGCCCGCTTCATCACGGACTTCCTGGACAATGGCTACGGTAGGCAGCCCTCCCGCCTGTTCCCTGGCGCGATGCAGCCCTGCACCCACTGTGCTCTTCTGCCTCCTTCCGCGTGGGCTGAGTGGACTCCCCCTGCAGCATGGGATGGGGTGAGAGATGCTGCTAGGGGTGGCACATTTTCAATAGAATTAGACTGGCCTTCTAAGGGCCAGAGCTGTCCAACACTGGGATGAGCTGCAGTGAAGGCAGCTGCCTGGTCACTGAGCTGTGCAAGCCCAGCAGGGTGGGCGTCCGTGGGCAGGGCTGTTGGTGGGACGCAGACTCAGTGGCTCTGTGGCTGGTCGGGGAGGCAGGTGGTGTGGCTGGGTCGTGTCCTGGTCTGTTCCCCAGATGTGGGATGTGTGCTGAAAGGCGCGTTGCCTCTGTCTGTGCTGACCTGTGAGACAGGCCTGGTGATGGCAACTGATCGTAGGTGTTGTTGGCCGGGATGGAATGAGGTGGTTGGACAAGCAGTGAGCCGGCGCTCCTCACGCAGGAAGCAGCCAGCTATTTACAGCTTCGTGCACGTCTGGGATGTGGGTCCCAGAGCCTTGGGCCCAGGAGCCCAAGTCCTCGGTGGCCATCTCGAGGGCCTGAGCCCACCTCTGAGCCGGGTCCTGCCCTCCCAGGGCACTGTCTCTTAGACAAGCCGGAGGCTCCCCTGCACCTGCCTGTGACTTTCCCTGGCAAAGACTATGACGCTGACCGGCAGTGCCAGCTGACCTTCGGGCCTGACTCACACCACTGTCCGCAGCTGCCGCCGCCCTGTGCTGCCCTCTGGTGCTCTGGCCATCTCAATGGTCACGCCATGTGCCAGACCAAGCACTCGCCCTGGGCCGACGGCACCCCGTGTGGGCCCGCACAGGCCTGCATGGGTGGCCGCTGCCTCCATGTGGACCAACTCCAGGACTTCAAGGTGAGGCAGCAGGCAGGGGGCAGAGGCCTGGGGCAGGGGTGGCCTGGTGCCCAGGAGGGAGCACAGTTACCACCCTTCTCTTCTGTGCGGCTGCAGGTCCCACAGGCCGGCGGCTGGGGTCCCTGGGGGTCCTGGGGCGGCTGCTCTCTGAGC